AAAATTTTATTAAAAAATTTTAAAATTTAAAAAAGTTTGCAGGCAAATTTGGCTGCAAAACAATTTAAGGGATAAGTATTCATTTTACGGTATTTTCTCGGATGATGACTTCTTATTTTTCTGATAGTCGTTTCTTTGACAGGTTATTTATTTGATACACATAAGACAAGATTCTATTAATACTATATGCTTATAACTAATAAGTATTAGAGTTATTTTTTGTGATGTCAAGCAAATATCGATCAGAAAAACAACTATCAGGAAAATAAGCAAGTATCATATTCAACATTAAATATTCAATTCATATATAGCAAAATAGTGTAAATTAAAACAAATATGTTAGAAGTGATATAATAAATTTAAAGGAAATAAAGATTAATAAATTCAAAGAATTTTTACAATGTAATTACTTACCAATTTATTATCTTTATAATGCTGTTGGCATCATAGTTTATATAATTTGTTTAGCCAATGTATAAGAACTAGAAGAATTGAAGACATGGAAGTTTTTTTTTTTTATAGAACACCAAATATAAATTTACTTAATGTTATTTATATACATGTTTAGAGTACTTCTTGATAGACAATATTCTTAGTTCTAGTGCAGCCAGATAGAAGTTTGATTCATATAGAGGATAAATATTTTGCTCTTGAGAATGCAACTTATAGTTGCCCATAGCTAAAAACTGGTTTTGTAAGCATAAGGCCAACACATTAAACTATTTGGCCTTGGAATTTGTTTATTGTCATAGCGAATGCAAGTCTAACAAAGAACTGAGTTCTTGTGAACTCAAAAGGTAAAAAATCGTTAGTTGGCTGAGGTTTAATTCTTGGTAGTAAAACTTGATGTTTAGCAACATTTCCATGATTGTTTTTTCTCTTTGAATGCTTTTGCAATATGTTTTTCTTGTTCATGCTGTTGTTTGGTAGGTGGCAAAGCAGCTCTTCTACGTTTAGTAGTGGTCTTCCAAATTCTTACCAATTCAGCATCTGGCTCTTGTCTTCTACATCATTGACAATATACCTGTGTAGCTTTCCTTTTGCTTATTTTTTTATATAAATTATATTATAAATTTATATAGCATATAACTTTTTATATCAAATATAAATAGACATTAAAATAAAAATTTTATACCAGCGATAAAATGACATGATTTTGTCAACTTTGTTATAACCTCATTATAGATTTGCAATTTCATTATTGCAAAATATTTGTTAGGCATTAATAATTGTAATGTATAAATTTAATCTTGTGAGTTGATTCAAACATTATTTTTTAATACATATGTACTATATATCAGGTCATACATCAGACAAAAAATATCTGAAATTTAAAATCAGAATATTAGTACTAAAAGCTATAGATAAGTATCTATATAGGCTACTGCCAATAGAAATAAAGCAAATTGATATTTTAAAAAATCAATGCCTTAGCTTTCATGGCTCATATCTCAGTGGATTTTAAGATTGTCTCAATGGTTTAATAGTCAAAAGAAAGCTTATGATTTAAGCTTTCTTTTCAATACTAAATCATCAGGATAGCTTCAAAATTCACTGAGATATGAGCCGTGAAAGTCAAGATATTGATTTTTTTTAAAATGTCAATCTGCCTTATTTCTATTAACAGTAGCCTAATCAAAAAGTTTGTATTATTTCTAGGAATAGTGGAATGGTGTAAGTGGATATTTAATATCTAGAATTAGAGTTAATTCTAAATCTACTTAAATATGATTGGCTGTGTTAATATTAAGAGGTTTAAATAATTTTAGCATGAAAAATAAAATATTATATAATAATAGTAAGAAAATTATAAATGTTGATCATGTAAGCTTAAATAATGCAATGTGATTGGTAATTTTAGTGATCACCAAAATAGAGGGCTCTGATTGGTTGTTGTTGATTGATCTATCAAGTAGATATTCGAATATATAGTTTTTATAATTATATACAATGATTAGAATACCTATATCTTATGCTATATATTAATTTTTTTATCATAAAAATTACGCTAAGATAGTAAATATAAAAGTTCTTTATTCTAAGATTGTTAGCCATATGGTATACTTTTATAGAGCTATAATAATAATACAATTTTTGAATGATTTAAAATTTAGCTTTAAACTTAGCTTATAGTGATTCAAAAATATATAATATACTATATATAGACATATATATATACTTTAGCTAACATGGTATTAGTTGAACAATATAATTGGTAATTTTGAGGATCATCCAAATTAAGCCCTCTAATTGGCTAGTGTTGCCAGACGGAGATATAATAATGCTCTGAATTATGATATATCTTTATTTATAAAGTTTATAGTATTTACTTTAATGCTTTTATTTGGTGTGTTCATAAATATGCTATATAGTACTGTAGTAATATGATGCTATATTAGATTGTGTATTAATATAAATGCATTGTAGCTAAATTAAATATTGCTGTTTTTATTTGAAATACAATATAACAACTTGTTATACAGCATATATAATTTTTTAAGCAAAGCTTTTTTAAATTCACAAAGATGTTTAATAATACTCAAATATATATAAATTGTATGAATATTAATCATATAATGATACAATTATAATCATATATCATATGATTTTAATTAGTGATATTAAATTGCTCAAGCAGTTTGGTTTATGCTCAAAACATACTTGCTTGAATACCAAAGTAAACTAAACTAGTTTTTATAAACCAGTTTATATAAGTATACTTATGTAAGCAAATTTATACAAGCATGCTTTATATAAGCAAATTTATATAATAAATTGTTAAATTGCTTAAGCAGTTTAGTTTATACTTAAAGTATTTCTACTTTGATGCTATAACAAACTATACTGGTTTTTATTAAAATTATTTAAAATTCAAAGAAACAAATTCTTATATTACTATAATCAAATATATGAAATATCAAAAGAACAACATATTATTAATCTAAAATCTAAACCTTGAAAAAAAATTTCAAATAATTATAATTTAAAAAATTAAAATCTTATATATATAAATATTATTTCAAATATAATAATCCTAAGTTTTATTAGAGTTATAGCTATAAGCTGATTTAAAGCATATTTGCTTTTGAGCAACTTTAAAGCATATTTGCTTTGAGCAGGTTTAAAGTATTAAAAGCATATTTGCTTTTAAGCAGTGCTTAAAAAATTTATAAGCAAACTATAAAAGTTTGTGCTTTAAACCTGCTTGAGCAGGTTTTATATAAGCATTTTAAAATCCCTAATTTAATCATATATCATATGATTTTAATCATATGATTTATCTATATGGGGTGCTAGTAGAAACCAAGCAAATTGTTTTTAGTGAGTTTTTTAAAAATTTAAATCAAAATATCTCAACAACTATTAAACTAAACTTGAAAATTTTTTATTTTATTTTAATTCTATAACTACATAAAATTAAAATAAAAAAAATTTATCAAGTTTGGTTTAATAGTTGTTGAGATATTCTTTTTAAAGTTTTAAAAAAATTTATTTAGAAAGAATTTGCATGATTTCTACTGGCACCCCCATATATTTATGACCTTTTAAAAAAATTTATATAACATGCAACTGCTAGTTACTATATCAAAGTTCTGTGTTTTAATTTCTGCTTATACCCATGACACCCAGTGTATAACACTGGTCGAAAGATGGCAATGCTTGAATTTTTTTCTATATTGTATTAGTATTTCTTACTATATTTGTTAGCGCTATTGTTATGATATGGCTGTGCATGGTTTAGAACCACAGATATTGGTTCAAGATCATAGATCTGGGCTTAGGACCATAGATCTTGGTTCAGAATCACGGACTTTGGTTCGGGACCACAAATCAAGGTTTCAGAACGATCATTTGGAATGTATAAATATGACAGCTAAACTAATAGAGAATAAGGAGAATTCCGATGAGTCATAAATGAAATAATAAATAACGTCCTTATGAATCGTATACCAACTAAATACATTCTTTAATAACCATTATCGTTAATCCCTGAATCCTTGATAAACATTCATCTCGCATAACCTATGTTTGTAACCCTGAGCTAATTTGACCTCACGTTAACCAAGTCTCTCCCATGGTTACAACACCAGGCACAAATCAGGTACCTAATTTGTGCCTGGTTTTCTATCTTTCCCGTGTAACTATTACTAACATCGTCAATTCCTATAATTCAGTAATCTATATAGTCGTACCTGGGCTAATCACACATCACCTTTTTTTTTCCTATAATTTAATTTTTTTCTTGGAGATACGGTCAGACTCCTAAATGCAACTCCCTCAAATGCATAGCCTATAGATGGGGTGAAATTAATTCTACAATTTCTACATTCTACAGTAGAAAATGTAGAAATAATTTCACAAAAAATTTATAAAAATGAAATTCCGAATTAAATTTCAACTGTCAAAATTTATTAAACTGTAAAAATTAATTTATATACAAAAATCATATTGACCGTTGAAATAAATTTTTGTAACATAATTATAATTGGTGAAAAATAATACAAGTTGCTATAACATCACCTTTACATATGGGTTTGGTGCAGAGACCTAAGAAAATTGTTTTTAAAAACGGCAAAAAATGTTTTTTAAATATTTTACTTAATTTTGATCAAAATGCAGCATTTGTAATGAATTTAATTCAAGACTTCGTTTATTGTTTGCTAAATTATTAATTAATTAGAAGCTACATGTATTTTTTGT